CAGGTCCTATGAACGGCTGTTCAGATCCCGTTCTTGCCAGCTGATCTGCGGTTTCATTCCCAGCAATACTCTCCTACTGAGATGCCACAAGCTGGTTCAGGTCCTATGAATGTATCTTCAGATCCTGTTCTTGTCAGCTGATCTGCTGTTTTATTACCAGCAATACTCTCCTACTGAGATGCCGCAAGCTGGTTCAGGTCCTATGAATGGATCTTCAGATCCTGTGCTTGCCAGCTGAGCTGCCGTTTCATTACCAGCAATTCCCTCATGACCTGGCACCCATATCAGTTGAACTCTTGTTATGTTTGGCCAGTTGTATCAGGGATTGGTTGTAGCCCCAGACCAGTTTTGAGGATCTCTGGTGTTTACCAATTGCTTTAACCGCAGCTTGACTGTCTGATAGAATACAGATGTTCCTATTTAAGAAGCCACAAAATACAATGACAGTGGGATGTCATATTACAGATTAGAAAATCCATATGCCTTCAAGAACTGGAACTGTAATGCTGGCAAGAAGTTATTGATAGGAAGAAGTCATGTTTCTCCTGCAAAGATGTGTTTTCAATAACAGTGTATGATATAGGGAAAAGCAGAGCAAAAGCTATTATTATATAAATGAAAAGTGGATTAATATAAACCACACCCAAAAAGGTCACTAGAGAATGAGTGATGTACAGGGCAGCATCAAACTCTCTACTGGAAAAGGAGGTAGGTTTATAATATGCCATCTTTCTTCAGCTGCCATTGGGTTCATTCCTGAAAATAAATTACTTTGTAGCTCATGATTGAGCAGCAACACTGACTACAAGAAAGATATTTAAAAATTGGTTCCTGCATCATGTTCTGCCACATTTTGCTTTAGAGTCCATAACTGATATGGAGAATGTCATATTTTGTTTTCTTCAACAGACATTAAGGTTTGAGCACCAGAAGATCCAATATAATACTTTGCCAATCCAATAAAAATATCCCACATACTATTCAACAAACCTGTATGGAATTCTTGCAATTGAAGATGTGCAAGCCTCAAAATAAAGTGTATGAAATGAATGCCAGTACAAAAAATTCATGGCAAGAGAATAGTGCCATTACCTCCATACCACTTGTATAATGCAAATGAACTTGTCTAGGCACAAAAAGATACATGGCCAAGAAAATATATTTAAGATTTCAGACATTACAAATTTACTTCATCAGGCCACTGGCAGCTTAGATGCTGCATTAGGGGGAAAATCTCTCCATCATCGCAAGAACCTGCAGATAAGCCCCTTTCAAATGAGTTCATGCAGAATGAGGTCTTTGAACCTATCACTGTCAACCTGATGGAATCCAGTTAAAATACTTTTGATTGGAATGAAGATGATGACAATGACCAGTTGCAAATATTCCAAATACACAAAATAAATATCATTAACTCCATGATGTTATTCTTATGTCTCTCTCTTACCTTCCCATATATCTGAGAACTTGATCTTTGGAAGATGGTAAAGGAACATTAATATAATAACGTCAGAGTACATCCGAAACAAGTACTTGTCAAAGTTATAGATATCTGGCAACACTGCAATCAAGTAGCTCCATCTTTCTCTGCACTACTGCCTCCAACTTACATGCCAGTTGTGTTATTGTTTCCTATATGAAAACTTTCTAAAAGACTAACAACAGTGGTCTGAATTCCCAACACATGTATATACTTTGACATAACTAAGTAACTAACAAACTAAACAAATAAATAACTAACAAACTTCAAAATGCAGAGTCATTTCCAACATTGCAAGAAATACAAAGGCTCATTAACCATGTTCACAAGAGCCCACCACTAGTTTCTATTCTAAGCCACATGAATCCAGCCAACATCCCCCATTGTATATCTTGAAGCACCAATTTAATTTGGGGAGGGGCTTGCGGCAATTCAGTGACCACAGCTATGTATTTATTATAACTGCAATAGCATAGTCAGTGTAGCGACTGGCTATGAGCTGGATAACCAAGGAGTAACTGTTTGAGTCCCGGTAGGGTCAAGAATTTTCTCTTCTCCACATCATCCAGACCGGCTCATGTGTACCAGAGTTTCTTTCCCAGGGGCTAAATCAGCTGGGACCTGAAGCAGACATTCATCAACTAGTGCCAAGGTCAAGAAAATATGGTTCTATATATCCACTCCCCCATACACCTTCATGTCCTAGTACTTAATTAG